AATAGGTTAATTATTAATAAGTAAATATACAGATATTTATTTGTAAATATAAAATCATTAAATCATATAAAAATATCATTACAATATATTATGAAAACTGAAATACAGTCAAACCAAAATTTATTCAGACACCACATTTCTCACATTATCACAGTTTATTCGCTATAGTTTAGAAAATACATTTGTGTATTTAGTTTGCAGCTCCTATATGGCTTCTGACTGTGAGAATCTAATACAGGCCCTTTAATGAAGTCATAATTTGCTGCTGTTGGCATGTCTAATGTTTGTGAACTTAAAAACATCTAGAGCTCATTTAAATGCACATTTACTGTACTTGTTTCATTGTTTGAGTTTTTAATCCTGGCCTGAAGGTTTAGACAAAGAATATTCATTCATTCAAAATGCATGCTTTTATTCTTTATTCAAGAAGATTAAAACGATCTTTCTGCATATAATCTTTTCCGCCAATGAACTGGAAGACCTTCTAGGCTGAGAGTGATTCGCCCCGTTGTTCAAACGTCCACAAAAAAACGGCGGTGTGAACAGCAGGAATGAGGGCAGAAGGCAGGGAACAGCCACAACAGATGATTACACAGCTAAGAGCTTAGCAGCTTTTTAACACTAACCTTAGGGGACGGAGGGGAGGGGAGGGGTTGTTTTGGCCCTGTCGTACTCTCTGCTATGCAATACAGGTCAGCTCAGAGCTTTGGATGGATGGAGCAGTTTGTCTCCTCCCCTTTAAATCCAAACCTCCTTAAAGAAGGGAACGGACTCAGCTTCCAGACGTACAGGAGTAGAGGACTGAGAATATACAGGAATGGCTTCAGGGCAATCTGATGAATCAGTGGACGAAAAGGAGACAAGATGAGATGAAGAGAAGGGATCAGAGGAGAGAAGAGAAGACCAAAGAAACTGCAAGAGCTCAAAGGGTGCGAGACTGTAACGAGGGACAAAAAGAATTGAGGAAAGACCATCAAAAAATGAAGAGACAACCTCAAAGGTCTGAAATGAGGCAGGAAGACCTAAAAGGTGCAGGACTGTAATGAGAGAAGATAGTTTGCAAGAAGAGCCGGTCTGACAGCTGCTCATATTTGATATTTTGTAGGATAAGAGCCTTGCAGCATCACAAAGAGCACATGAGGTCGGCAGAAAAGCCCTGGACAGCTTGAAGACGGCGTGAAGTTGAGTGTGTGTGTGTCCAGTGTTGTTAAGTGACTGCCATTGCACACAGGGACAGCAAAGTCAAGTGAAAGTCAGAAGAGAAGCTCAACCAAAATGAGATATTAAAGCCCTGAGGATTCACAGACAGAAGATCCAGGCTTGAGAAACCACAGTGTAAACCAGGTGCACTCACTGAAAGGAGAGGAGAACCATCAGGAGATTACGTTTGGCTGGAAACACAAGTCTGATTCCTCACAAACTCTTTCCATGGGAAACAAGAAACTCATGCAAGAGCTTCTGCATAAATCATTAAAGAATTGAAGCCAAGCCAATGTCTACATTCAATTTTTTCTTCTTAGGCTCCTGTGCTTTAGCCAGATCACCATCTCACACCTGTGTGGTCGCCATTAATAACAGACATCGCTTGTCCAGAGATGCATCGTAGGAAACTTCTGTGTTTATTCATCCAGAAAGAGATGTATATAGAAAAGTAAAACTATCTACGCAAGTCAAGTCCTTTTTCTTCATTATTTTGAGGTCCAGTTGCGATCCAGCTATGGAAGTTCCCAAAGCTTTTTCCCAAGGCTGTGAGTGGAGGAAAATAACATTTTGGATGATTTTTCAGCAGTAGTGTGATTGTAGGCCACTTTGGACTTATTGTTGAAGATGCTCAGAGGCAGACAGTTTGGATGCACCTTCTTGCATCCCTTATTTTACTACCGTTTCATGCACAGAAGTGTCTTGCGTAAAATTAAAAGTTGCGTCAGCTTCAAACATGGTGAGTCAGACTTTCTTCTGAATCAAAGAAAATGTGAAATATTGTTTCTCTCATCTGTCCAACCTCTTTTCCCCCTCCATCAGCTCAGGCAGGAAAAAGGCGGCAAAACCCTTCCTGTCTTCTAGGCTTAGTTGAATTTGTACCATCTCGTACCGCATGTCTGCGTCCGGAGACCCGGCAAGCGCCACCGATCCAAAGCTTCCAGGACGTCTGGGCTAATCCCCGCTCATATGCATGCCACATGTGAATCACGCTTGTTTTCAGCCCGACTGATGCAGACAAAAGAACAGGGAAGGAGAGGAAGTGTGCGATTCTCTTCTCAGAGAGCGTGACGTGAAAGAATAGCTTAAATCAGGCTTCTTTAGCAGCTCTCTCCTCACTTTTTTTCCTACATATAGGAATAGAGGAATCAACTGTTTTTCAACATGGACTTTCCACTTGAGTTAAAACTATTTTTTAAGGCTCTAAAAGATTTGTCAGATAGCTCAAGACTTCTTACTCTCCATAACAATAGCCTACATAAAATATGAAATAAAAGATCAAATATAACGATTACCACCAAAAATATCCACATGTATATTTAGGTCTGTAAAATAAAATAAAATAAAATAAAAAAATAAAATAAAATAAAATAAAATAAAATAAAAAAAAATAAAATAAAATAAAATAAAATAATAAAACAAAACAAAACAAAACAAAACATTTCTCAGCAGGGGTGTCTCAAAGTTGTGTAAAATCATCAGAATGTTCCTAAATATTAGCTTATCTGATCCTCATGAACTATGGGTTTGTGTTTCAGGAATCTTTGGTCAGAAGTTGGAAGAGACAGTGCGATATGAATGTCGTTATGGCAATAAGATGGCGCCCATGCTGGTGGAGCAGTGCGTGAACTTCATCCGCCATTGGGGTCTACGAGAAGAAGGGCTCTTCCGTCTGCCTGGACAAGCCAACCTCGTCAAAGAGCTTCAGGATGCTTTCGACTGTGGAGAGAAGCCGTCATTTGATTGGTACTTGCACTTACTAACTGCACTTACAGTCTGTTATGAATGTGAAAGGAATCTGCATGAATGCAAACAGGCACAACTTTAAATTATCTAAATAATCTTATTCAGATTAGTCCAGATTGTCTGTATTACCTCTTTTGCCTTCCTTATCATCTCTCTCCAGTGTGTTTCTTTGTTTCAGGAACATGCACATTGAGAAATATAAATACAATATTCATGGAGGATTTGAACTTTGCTTAAGTTGGTTAAGCAAAATGCAACATGCTGTTGATTCCTTAGCTCAAAGAGTAAACACTATTCAGAAATTTGAGGACAAGAAGATTTTTTTTAATTAATACTTGTATTTAGCGAGGATGTATTCATTAAATTGATCAAATAAAGACACTTATAAAATGTTACAAAGAATTTTAAATAAATGCTATTAATTTTAACATTCAATTCATTAAATAATCACGGTTTACACAAAATGTTAAGCACAAATGTTTTCAGCATTGATAATAAAAAATGTCATATGAGCAGCAAATCAGCATATTAAATTAATTTCTGAAGGATCATGTGACACTGAAGACTGGAGTAATGATGCTGAAAATTCAGCTTTGCGTCACAGGAATAAATTACATTTTAAAATATATGAAAAAAGAAAACTGTTACTCTACATTGTAAAAATATTTCACAATATTAATTATTTTACTGTATTTTTAATCAGAAATTTATCAAATAAAGACACTTATAAAATGTTACAAAGAATTTTAAATAAATGCTATTCATTTTAACATTCAATTCATTAAATAATCACGGTTTACACAAAATGTTAAGCACAAATGTTTTCAGCATTGATAATAAAAAATGTCATATGAGCAGCAAATCAGCATATTAAATTAATTTCTGAAGGATCATGTGACACTGAAGACTGGAGTAATGATGCTGAAAATTCAGCTTTGCGTCACAGGAATAAATTACATTTTAAAATATATGAAAAAAGAAAACTGTTACTCTACATTGTAAAAATATTTCACAATATTAATTATTTTACTGTATTTTTAATCAGTTAAATGCAGCATGTTGAGCATAAGGGACTTATTTTCAAAAATTGTAAAAAAATTACTGACAAACCAACAAACTTTTGAACAGTATTTAGTTTAACTTGAATGCAGACTAAGTCACTTTGGATAAACATGTCTACTAAATGTGTGAATGTAAATGACATCAAAGAAGTATCTCATTAATGCCTGAATTGAGTCCTCATTAAATCCAAGTTTACTCTGGCTCCAGTGACAAATCAAAGCGAAAAGATGCAGTTGACAGTGACAGCTTTGTTTAGAGCTTGTGAAACTTGTTCGACATACTTTCACTTTATATTAAAACTCATAAGTGTGCCATCTTTTGATAAAAATAGATGTGCTTTCTTCTCAGATGCCTGGCATTACAATGAAGCAGAATCTAAATCTGGAATATTCACCCAAGATTTCACATTTATACATTAACAAGACAAATTAATCCTTTTTAACACCTCCAGGTTTTTCATTTCGTCTTTTTCTCATTCACATGCTTCTCTCTGTGCAGTTTTCCAAATGACCCATTTACCATTTAGTAGATGTTTATCCATTATTGGCCTGAAAGTGCAGTTATGTTGTCCATTTTAAGCTAACGTCCCTTCACATTACCCTAAAATGTAGATGCTGGACACTTTCTCTCTCTGAAAAAGCTTTCTCTGCACTTCCACAATACCAAATGCTGCAGATAACACCAGCAGCAGCTGCTTCCCCGGTTTATTTGCAATCTGCGAATTTAGGGCTCCACAATCACTTTGTCGGGAAGAGACGTGGCAGGGAAGGCACACTGCATGTTTAACACCGTTCATATTTAGATCTCACTGGTGTCTGAAGCAAGGTGATAATTATGAAGGGTCAATACACAGCATGTTACATTATGCACATGCCTGCTATTCCTGTCCAGCCCACCCGGAATGAGCCAATAAATCCAGCTTGTTATGGGATTGTCACAAGCCCAAGTCCTCTATGGGACCGTTACCGGACTGATCAGTGACCTGCTAGTGCTTTCTTTGATTTAGTACCAGCTTCCTGTTACTCATCATTAAATCTGCAGGGATACTGACACATCATGGACACCCACAATCTGTCATTTAAAGTGCCCTACACTGTTTTTACACACGTTATGCTTCTAGCCTTTCATTCTTTGAGGCATTTATATATGTCTATTCTTTCCATCTTTCTCTGCAGTAACACAGACGTTCACACCGTGGCATCTTTGCTGAAGCTGTACTTGAGAGAGCTGCCCGAGCCGGTCATCCCGTTCTGTAAATACGAGGAGTTTCTGGCCTGCACCAAACTCCTCAGCAAAGACCAGGATGCAGTGCGTTATCTCTTGTTGACCATCACATTACAAGCATATAATCCTGTTATATATACTTGGTGGCTATAACATGTCTCATTACTCAAGGCTGCAATGGTTGTCTTCAAATGTTTGTGTCATTAATGATGAAAGTTACCAAATGCATATACAGTACTATAGTTCTAATGTTTGGGGTGGGTACACTCTTAAAAATAAAGGTGCTTCACGATGCCATAGAAGAACCTTTTTTGTCTAAATGGTTCCATAAAGAACCTTTAACATCTGTTTCACAAAAGGTTCTTTGTGGCGAAAGAAGGTTCTTCAGATTATAAAAAGGTAAGAAAGAGATGGTTCTTTAAAGATCCTTTGACTGAATGGTTATGTATGGAACCAAAAATGGTTCTTCTATGGCATCGCTGTGAAGAACCTTTTAAGCACCTTTATTTTTGAAGTGTAATGTTTTTTTTTAATGGTGAAAGAAGATTCTTATGCTCATCAAGTGTGCATTTATTTAATCAAAAATGCAGTAAAAACCGTAATATTGTGAAAAATATTATTACAATTTAAAATATCAATTTATTATTTGAATATATTTTATCATTTATTTCTGATGCAAAGCTGAATTTTCAGCATCATTACTCCAGTCTCCAGTGTCACATGATCCTTCAGAAATCTTTCTAATATGTGGATTTGCAGCTTAAAAAAAAAAAAAATTCTTATTAATATCAATGCTGAAAACAGTTGGGCTGCTTAATGTTTTTGTGCAAACAGTGATTTTTTTTTTTCAGGATACTTTCAAAAGTTCAAAAGTACAGTTAAAATGAGGCAAATTAGGCCTGAACTAAGGGACTTTTGCTCTGGTTCAGTTGTTTGTCATTTAGCATTTTACAGTACTTTGTTTAAAAGCCTACATTTTACAGTACTTTGTTTAAAAGCCTACATTTTTAACTTAAGCTACACGATTCCTAAAGTTAACAAATGTAAAGTATGTTGTTTTTTTCATAATGAGCCTCACTGTAGACTCAAAACATTGTTGACCTTTTTAGCTCCCCTCCTTTTGCTATTTCTTATTTTTGAGTTCGGTTGCCACCAGCAGGCTGAGAGAATGGCAAATGACTCATCCCATTATTCTACTGCAGTCGTCTTTCATCTTGCGTGCATCAATTCCTTACTTTCGCTGAGCCTGAAGAACGGGTTGACCCCGAGGAACGGAAACAGCCTCATTCTGACTTTCAAGTTACACTTTTACCTCGTGAGGATCACCTGTGCGTCAGCCAGTGGCTTTTGAATGGTTTCAGGATAGAATCAAAGTGCAAGACCGGGTCTTGCAACACTGAATTTAATTTACTGCCCCGAGGTTTTGAACGAGATTCGTACCTCTGAGAGTCCCTCGAGTGCGGTACACGCAAAGAATCGCGGTACCATGTCAAATGAAGCAGAAGGCTTTACTAGATCCATTTGTTTTTGAGAAATAGCTTTCTCGTGTGGTGCAGCAAAGTCATTTTCATCAGAGAGAGCCTGCAGGGAAAAGACATATCGACCATGATAAAAACAGATCTGGAATGGAGCGCATCATTAAATCTAGACCGTCATCAATTGTTAAACTCACTGACCCATGCCTAGACGAATAGTGCCGTAATAACGGAATAAATTGCAATATGAATATTTAAAGTCAATTTGGAAGATTTTTAAAACTAATGGGATAGGTTTAATTGCTTTTTCATTCAGTACGTCTTTTAATCATGCATATTAGTCCAGATCATTTAAAATTCAATTACTGTAATCAGTTTAAACAAAGGCACACATTTGTATTTCTTTTTATCCTGGATGTGTATTTAATTATTATTATTATTTTTTAATCTCTCTCTGTGCAGGGAATGAAGGAATTAAGAAGGCAAGTAGAAGGTTTACCTCCGGTAAACTACAATCTGCTTAAATACATATGCAAGTAGGTGATTTTGTATTGTATTCCATTCAGCTGTGGCTTATCACAAAATATTATATAAAACATATGTCATAGCTATTTGCACTAGTGGTGGGAAGTTGAGTCACTGAGTCAATCCAGTCAATTGATTCATTCAAAAACCTTGATGCATTCAGGAACAAAACAAGTGACTGTAAGTGAGTCACTGAGTCAATTCACTCAATTGATTCATTCAAAAACCCTGATGTATTCAGGAACAAAACAAGTGACTGTAAGTGAGTCACTGAGTCAATTCACTCAATTGATTCATTCAAAAACCCTGATGTATTCAGGAACAAAATAAGTGACTGTCTTTGAGTGAGTTCTGGATTAATCCATTCAATCAATTCATTCAAAAACACTGATTCAATTGTGAATGAAAAAAGTGACTGTCTTTAAGTGAGTCACTTTGTCAATTCACTCAGTCAGTTCATTCAGAAACACTGATCCATTCAGGAATTAAATAAGTGGCTGTCTTTGAATGAGTCAGTGAATCAATTAACTCAGTGGCACTATTTAAAAAAAATAAAAATAAACATTTTATATTAAATAACTTGTATGATGTTTTCATAGCATAATATCAATTTTAGAGTTTTGAAAACAAGTTTTTGCATTGCATTTATTTGTTGTGAAAAAAAATCGTATTTTTGTTTGTAACAATCAAGTTTTTATTTATTTATTTTTTTTTTTTTTTTCCACACATTCAACTTTGTACATACAGTTTCTGAAATCTCAGTTGTAATGTTGAGACCCTTCTTTATTGTCCAGGTTTTTGGATGAAGTTCAGTCCTACTCAGGTGTGAATAAAATGAGTGTACAGAATCTGGCCACGGTCTTTGGGCCAAATATTCTAAGGCCAAAGGTTGAGGACCCAGTGACTATAATGGAAGGTAGGTCTTCCTATCCATATCTCTCACTCCAGAAATCTCTGGATCTGGATTATATTTAGTGTTTGAGTAATCTATTTATCATGTGTTCAGGCACAGTACTAGTCCAGCAATTGATGGCTGTTCTGATTGGCCGCCATGATGTTCTTTTCCCACCCGATGAGGACCATACTAGCTCTCTGGAACTGGTTAATAATAACAATAATGAGATGCAGAAACGGCCTACGAATGGTCAGATTCAAAACAAAGAGAACAATAACACCAGTGGGGTGCGACAGTGCACTTGGGACACGCCAGAATCACCCAGCCGGGCTCCTCTGGACAATGGCTCTCCTCGTTCAGGCAGCCCACGTAATGGTTTTACGGGACAGCGATTCGAGGTGGCCCGCAGTCCGCCGATCTCCGTGAAAAAGAACCCGGCGTTTAGCAAAGGGAGTGGGATTGTCACCAATGGATCGTTCAGTTCATCCTCATCGTCCTCAGGTGACGCCAATCAGGAGAAAATTCAAACTCTACCGAACATGGGAACCCTTCATGCCCGTCGGACGGGTGCGATTAAAGGCTCAGGCACCAAAATGGGCATCCAGAATGGCATCGTTCGGATGGGCGTATCCAGCGCAGATGTGACAAATGGGACTCTAAATGGACGGAATGGACTCTGGGTGCCCAACGGTCACGTCACGATGCGCGAGGCTAAAAGTCAAGACGCCGAGCACCAGCAGAACCGCCTGTCTACATACGACAACGTCCACATCCATCAACAGCAGACCACGCAGCCCAGTCTGAGCAGCAGCTGTGAGGACAAACAGAGCGTGGATAGCGCCACATGGTCCACCTCGTCTTGCGAGATCTCTCTACCAGAAAACTCCACTTCTTGCCGCTCGTCCACGACCACGTGCCCAGAGCAGGACTTCTTTGGCAGCAAATTTGAAGATCCTTTGTTGGACGGGCGGGAGGACAACGGACTGGCGGTGGATGATAGGGAGCAGCGGACCAGTAACGGAGGAGGCCAGGGAAGCAGAGGAACCAGCAGCAGTGATAACAGCGAAACGTTTGCCGTCACGAATGGACCGACCAATCACAGTGCACTGCACAGCCTGGTGGCCAGTCTCAAACAGGAAATGCTCAAGCAGAAGAACGAATATGAGGCCAGGATCAAGAGGTGAGAGTCATGTTCAATCATAAAATTAACTTTGCAGAGCACAGAAACTAGTGATAGTTTTTTTTCACAGTTTTAATGAAGTTAAAAATGAATAGAAAATAAAACAAATGAAATGTTATTTTTCGCCCAAATTGTTTCCAACTTGCATTGCTCCGTTAAATGGAGAAAATCATTTCCATTTATATATTTTTTATGTGATTTATAGGAAACTAAAACAAGAGAACTGAAACCAATTGAGGGAAATGCCAATAAATAAATAAATAAATGAGAAAAGAAAAAAAATAATAAATCACACACTCTTCAGTATGGTACACATATGAGATGTGGCAAACATTTGAATATTGTTCTGTCTTCCCTGTTACTTTTTTTGGATAATTTATCACTGCCAAAAAAAAAAAAAAACTAGCAATGTAAAGAGGTTTTTATTTAAAACAAAAAAAAAACAGGGGGATGGAAACAC